ATATAGGGAAGAGACCAAAGGCAGTGGGAGTGATCTTTAAAGATGAAAATGGGAACCAACATGAAGCAGTTCTTGCTGATAAGCCACAGAATGAAGTAATATTGTCCAGTGGAGCAATTGGAAGCCCTCAAATGCTGTTGCTAAGTGGAATTGGACCCAAAGCTGACCTTGAAAAGTTGAATATTCCAGTGGTGCTTGATAATAAGTTTGTTGGGAAAGGCATGGCTGATAATCCAATGAATGCAATCTTTGTCCCTAGTAACAAAGCAGAAAAGCAGACACTAATTCAAACTGTAGGGATTACCAAGATGGGTGTGTACATTGAAGCTAGCAGTGGATTTAGTCAGTCCATGGATAGTATTCAATGCCACCATGGAATCATGTCCGCTGAGGCAAGTAATTAACATATTGGTATTTGATAATGATGCTCGAGAAATTGTTTCGTGTGATCCTAACACCACTGTGACTAGTCTACGTGCTATAACGTGGATGGATTGGTAACACCACATGATGATGTTACGGTCACATTGAGAAGTTTCTCGTGATGCTTAATACTCGTAAGATTCTCATGGATTTGATTTCTGTTTTCTCTGTTTCATGAACTGCATTTTGTTATATAACTTGCAGATTGGGCAGCTATCTACTATTCCCCCAAAGCAAAGAACCCCAGAAGCAGTTCAAGCATACATTAGGCGCAAGAGAAACTTGCCCCATGAGGCATTCAAAGGAGGCTTCATTCTAGAAAAAATTGCTTACCCAATTTCTAAAGGTGATCTTAGCTTGGTCAACACTAATGTTGATGATAACCCCTCTGTCACCTTCAATTACTTCAGCCACCCGTATGATCTTCAACGCTGTGTTGATGGAATCCGTGTAGCCACTAAGCTTGTGCAATCGGAGCATTTCACAAACTACACAAGATGTAACAAGGAAACTGTGGAGAAGGTGCTTAACAGTAGTGTCGAGGCTAATGTCAACCTCATCCCTAAGCATACCAATGATACAAAGTCCTTGGAGCAGTTCTGCAAAGACACTGTGATCACTATTTGGCACTACCATGGAGGTGCTCATGTGGGCACTGTGGTTAGCCCTCAGCACAAAGTTCTTGGTGTAGACAGGGTCCGGGTTGTCGATAGCTCGACATTTTCTGAATCCCCAGGGACTAATCCTCAAGCCACTGTCATGATGATGGGCAGGTATGTATACATATGATCATATGAACAATCATGTTTGGGTGGAATTGCCTCCCCCTTCTTAGAAAGAAAATAAGTGAAAATTGAAATTAATTTGCTATGTGTTGTTTGATATGCAGGTACTTTGGAGCGAAGATCTTGAGAGAGAGACTGGGAAGAGCAGCTGGTATATAATGTATAAGGAAATAAGGCCTAGTAGTCAGCAGGATGAGAGCGACTGAGGGTTAGTTGAAACACTGTGTGATGTAATTTTAGTTGTTTTGATTCTTAGCAAGCTCTAATGTGTAAAAAAATTGGCTTGCCGTGTGAAAGTACATTTTATTCTATTATTAAATATTATCTCTTAGTCTTTAATCTCAACTACATTTCTCCCAAGAAAAAAAACAGAACAAATACCTTCTGCTTGTTTAACCAAGAAAACTAAATTTATTTTGAGTGGTTTTCTTGTTATTAAAAAGAAAGATATATTATGTTAGGGACTTTCTCTATTGCGAAGTGCAAGTGTGCGGAGTGGATGCGGACTTCTATTTGTCACCATTAGATTCCTTGTACGCTGTAGACTTAAAACATCATTGAGAACTTCTATTTCTATTAGAGCTTTTCAGTCTTTTGGTAAGAGCCAAAATTTCCCTCGCATACACCTCCAGTCTACTAACCTCTGTTTCTTTCTTCCACCACAACACCTTCTCTTCACTGTGCCTTCATCCAATGCTTTCATCAATTGCTATTTGTGACTCTGTATATGCAATACGTCATTTCCCTTCTTCTCTACATTGATTTTCTATTTCTTTTTATAGGGATGTCCTCGCTGATTTGGGTTTGGGTTTTACTTGATCTTCGTATGAACGTGGCTCACTTTTGTTTTGTTTTGAGTTTGGTGAGGTGTTGTATTGCTGGGTGGGAATTATTTTTTATATGACCTTGGCTGATTTGTTGTTTAATTATACCCTGTATTTACCTGATGTTTACAATTACTAACTATATTTCATTTGCAGATGGGGATATTGAAGCTAACTATGATCTCCTGATATGATTCGAAGAGTCATGCCTTCTTCGAATGATATCTTCAAAAATTTAGAAAAGATGTAAATAAATAAATTATTGAAATAGATGGTCCCAAAGACTCCATTACATTACAAGACAAAGGAATTGAAGCTACAACAATAATTGACGTTGTGGGTATTTCAGCTTCATACAAAATTATAGCTTGAACAATAATGAACTAATCCAGCCACAACTACATTCAAAGTTCAATTTCCACGAGCATCGACTATTACTTCACAGAACGATTATTGATATTGGGTGAAATATTTTCTGCATCCTTGCACAAAGAGGACCTGCAGAAGAAGGGAAATGACGTATTGCATATATAAAGTCACAAATAGCAATTGATGAAAGCATCGGGTGAAGGCACATGGAAGAGAAGTTGTTGTGGTGGAAGAAAGAAACATAGGTTAGTAGATTGGAGGTGTAAGCGCGGGAAATTTTGGCTCTTACCAAAAGACTGAAAAATCAAAAAAAGCTTAGAGAGCTCTCTTCCTCCTCCTCTATTTTAAGAGTCTTTGGCCTCTTCCCACCCGTTATGGGTGTTTTTCCCCTGAGCTCTATCTCAGATCTGGGGCTCCTTGCCTCCACTTCGGTTTCCTTTAGCTTTTTTCTGTTTTTCCCTAAGTTAAGCCCCCTCTATGAGACCCTATCTCCTCCATCTCTCCCTCTCTTTTCTCCCCCAACCACCTTCACTGTCCACCATCCATTTCTTCCATCTCCACTATCCTCGCCTCTCCTATGTTGTGATGACGTTCACCCTTGGCCAGCGACTTCGTCTCGTCACCAGTTTTCAACCACCACCTTTTGCTCTTCAGTTTCGCGTCCACTGCTCCCATGGTGGTTCGTGGCTGCACTTGCCTCTTGAATTATGGGAGCGCTTCCGCGCGGGTGGCTTGCTCACCCCCATCTTCCGTCGGCCTCTTTGGTACCCCTTGGTATCGTTTACTTCTCCTTGGTGGTGGTGGATCGGCTGGTGATGGTGTTGGCTTGCTTTGGGTGGCGGCTGCTTTGTGTTCTAATTCTAGGGTTTTTTTTGTTTAAAGTTTTCTGGGCTTTGTTGTTTCTTTGGGCTTGCTGTATTCGTTGGTTTTGGGCTGCATTTGGATTGAGTTTTTCTCTTTTTGTAATGTTTCCCATTATGAATGAATAGAGTTTCCCAAAAAAAAAAAAAAAAACAAAAGACTGAAAAGCTTCTTATAGAAATAGAAGTTCTCAATAATGTTTTAAATTTATAGCGTATAAGGAATCTAATGGTCACAAATAGAAGTCTGCATCCACTCCGCACACTTGCACTTCGCAATAGAGAAAGTCCCTATTATGTTATAGGGGCCTTCTCCATTGCGAAGTTCTAAGATGCAGAGTGGTTGCGAACTTTTGTTTTTAACCGTTGGATGGCTTGTATGGTTTAGATCTAAAACAAAGTTTAATAACTCATTTTTCTCTCTCTTCCCTTTCCTCTTCTTCCGCGAGTTCGCTCATCTCTCTCTCTCTCTCTCTCTCTCTCTCTCTCTCTCTCTCTCTCTCTCTCTCTCTCTCTCTCTCTCTTTTGTCTTCTTTTCCTTTATCAGATATTTTCCTCCTTTTCCCTCCTGTTCCTTTTCTCTCTGTCTTATTTTCATTCTTTTCGCTCTTCTTCCTTTATCTTCCTCCCTTTCTCTCTTGTACCAAATCAACAAATTAGTCAAACCCTTTTCCAAAAATTAGCCGAAACTACTAATTGCATTTGATAAGCCAAGGAGGGAATTGTAGGTCTGCACAGTTAGAGATTGGCATTGGGTTTTGCGTTGGTAAGCATTCACCATTAGAATAATGAAGAACCTGAGAATGTGTAGGGACTGTCATGAGGCTTTTAAGCTCATTAGTGACATTGTCGAGAGGGAATTCGTTGTTAGAGTTGTTAGAGATGCAATTCCACATGGGTGTTCTTCCTGAAATTAGTAATTGCTCATGTTGGGAATTTTGGCTAATTTTTGGAATCAAGTTTGACTAATTTGTTGATCTGGTACAAGAGAGAAAATGAGGAAGATAAAGGAAGAAGAGCGAAAAGAAAGAAAATAAGACAGAGAGAAAAAGGAGCATGAGGGAAAAGGAGGAAAATATCTGACAAAGGAAAAGAAGACAAAAGAGAGAGAGAGAGAGAGAGAGAGAGAGAGATGAGCAGAGAAAAATGAGTTATTAAACTTTGTTTTAAATCTAAACCATACAAGTCATCCAACAGTTAAAAACAAAAGTTCGCAACCACTCCGCATTTTAGAACTTCACAATGGAGAAGGCCCCTTATGTTATATACTCATTCTTAGCACTAATGATATAGATAAACATTACACCATTTAATTTATATAAACAAACCCAAAAAATGACAACTGACCCTATTAAATTTAATTTTGATTATTAAATTACTTTGATGCCCTATCGAGTGTTTCGGGGTTGTGTATGAGGTTTGGGCTTTTGACTTGTTTTAAGAAATCGATGGCAGTTTGTAATTTATAGAAAGTTCGAAGCATCTTTGTTATGTTGTAAACAGGCTTTGAGTGAGTTTCTAAAGCCATTTCATGTATGATTTTTCTATAATTTGAGCCCCTATATTTGGTATAATAGTGAATCTCCCTAAAAATAAACCTTTCTTCATATTTCTTTGCCCCCTTTTTCTTGGAATATCACCTTTCCATTACTAATTGTAAATCTATTTATGCCTCAAACTCTTTAGGGAGGTGCACTTTAAATGAAAAGAAGATACAACAAACACCAGTTTATGTGGCTTCAGAGCCATAATTTCATTGGAATTCCACGTTCACTCATGCTGCCTCTAGACAAACTTCTTAGTCTCTGCCAAAACTGCTTCCTCTTCCCTGTCCTCAGTGGCCCTGAACTAGAGTACCTCCTAAAAGACCCAAATTCCTGCCCCTCAACCTCAAGTCCCACAGGCGCACTTAAAAGATCTGATGTTGATGGTATCTTGGTGCCATGGCCAGCAACAAACCCCGGCAGCTCCTGCTCCTGCAGTGATTGTGAGACTTCCAAGTTGCCCCTATCTATATGAATGAAGAGATCATCTTGGCCACAACTTGTTGAAGCTCCTACTTCTTGTGTTTCTTTGAACTCGTTGCATACTAGCTTTAAGGCCTGCACAACCTCGCCCATGAAAGGCCGGTGAGATACTTCTGGTTGTATACACATTGAAGCAATTGCTGCCACCTTGGTCACACTATCCCATGAGATATCGGATGGCTTTAAGGCTGGGTCTATTATCATTTCTAGCCCCTCCTTGCTTGTGAGGAGCGGGCGAGCCCAAGCAACAAGGTTTTCTTGGCCTGGAGGTTGTGACAGGTCCACAGGTTTTCTCCCTGATAGAAGCTCAAGAAGGACTACACCATAGCTGTAAACGTCACTTTTCACTAAGAGATGGCCGGTCATTGCATACTCCGGAGCTAAATAACTGGAGCAAGAATCAAGATAGAGCGTGTTTATGTTAAACTAATAAGTTGCCATATTTATGTACGACTTGGACCACACAATTCCATTAAGAATTCATTATATCACTGGTTTTTAGACAACAGTCTGGCAACATAACATATCAAAAATGTCTGGCAAACGTATTACTTGTATATATGTATGCACACACACACACACACACACACACACACATATATGATATATATACTTGATGGTAAAGAAGTTCATACCCAAAAGTTCCCATAACATGTGTTGAAATATGTCTCTTTCCCTCTTCTAATGCCGCTCTAGCCAATCCAAAATCTGAAACTTTGGGTGTACAATCATATTCCAACAAGATATTGCTAGCCTTGAAATCACGATGTATTACGCGAGGATTTGAGTCTTCATGGAGATAAGCTAAGCCCCTAGCTGCACCCAGGGCAATCTTTATTCTGGCATCCCAATCAAGCGGATCAGTTTCCTTGTCAATGCCTGAAAGAACACAAGAATAAGCCACTCATAATTCAAAGCCGTGTCCGATCATTTAAGCAACTAAATATCTAGCATTTCAACCAAACAAATGTTGAAGTATTGATGTAGAAATTAATTTTTTTAAACTTGTATCTACCATGTAAATGGGATTCAACACTCCCATTTGGAACAAGTTCATAGACTAGGCAGCGAGTATGGCCCTCAGTACAGATACCAATCAATTTAACCAAATTTCTATGGTGAAGACGGCTTAGCATCTCAACTTCCGCCAAGAATTCACGGCTACCATGATGATCTTCTCTCTTGAGAACCTTCACTGCTACCTCTCTTCCATCGTCCAAAATGCCACTGTAAACAAGCCCAAAACCACCTTCTCCAAGTATTCTTGAAGCATCAAAATTATTAGTGGCTCTCTCCATGTCGTTCAAAGTGAAGGTTTTAGCAGATCCAGTATAATTCAGTGTGCCAGAACTCAAGGATGTTGATCCAGAACCACGCATGCTTCCGAACATCACCGACCTCGGAGGCCCTGTTGAGTAGATTTTGTTAATATTCTGGAGTAACTTGGAAGAGTTCCAACTGTACTATGAAGGAATAATGATTAAAAATGAAAGGAACTTCCATTAACATCTCGCTATAGATTATATATAGTTGTGCAACATGCTCAAAATAAAATTAATGTTATAAGCTTGTTGTGAGTAAACTGCCTTAAGGTCAGGGAGAATTTGGCTGCATTTCAAAATACCTGAGAGTTTTGTAGGAGAGGATGTCAAAGTTTGTGGAAACTTTTCCAGTTGACGTGAGTGACATGGTCCACATTTCAGCAACAAAAGCCAAACAACTCCGACACATAAAAGAAAGGCTGTGAAAGATGATACAACAATCACAGCAATCATACTTTTTCCGAGCCCATCTCTTTTTCTCCTTGGTACATCAACTCCAAGAGGTTTTATTGCCCTTCCATTGTTTTCTTTTCCAGTGTATGGCCCGTCATCTGTAGTAGAAATGCTTGAGGATGCTGAAGGGGGAGAAGGTGGAAGACCTGGATAGTGAACATAGAAAACTTCGTAATCTCCAAAGAGGGAAGGCTTTATGGAAACCTGTCTGCGCCAGAACTTTTCATAGATTTGGAATGCAGTAGTGCCATCAAAAGTTATTCCTGTAGGTACCAAGTTAATGAGGACAGCGCTTTTTTCTAGCTGCTGACTGACCGCATCTGCTCCCATAATTCGAACTTGGCTATGGTTTAGTGCCACACTGGCTGCAATTTCTTCAGCCAGCTCTGAAACTAAAGGGAAGAATGTGTATATTGCAACACCTAGTTGGAGTTGAACTTGAATTGGCCGCACACAACCGCAGCTTGAGCCAAGAGGTGTATATGTTAATGGCTCTGTGCATGTGATTGATGAACAATCTACACGTATGTTTAAGCACAGTTACTATTTTTTGAAGAGAAAAAATTGTGAACTATTTTCAAATAAAATAGAAAGGCAGAGTACATACCTTCACTGGGAGGTGGAGGTGGTAGTGCCAGAATTGGTGATGGTGGTGGGGCCTTCGTATTCTTCAGGGAAGAACCCACTGGAGAAACTGTAGGTGGAAAAACAGGCACTAGAAGAGACGAAAAAAATCACAACTTAATTCGAATCATAGTTAGGTAGATAAAGTCAGTACACTATGGTTAAAGCTACCAAACTGAAATGAGGCTTCCATACTATTATAGTGGCTTGTGAGAGTTGTTGGTGATGGTGCAGCTGCAGCCCATCTACTTGTTGAAGAGAAGGAGGATTGAAGGGGGGAGACTGCAGGGCCTATACATTTCATAAATATTCTTCAGATAAATACATTTCATGAATGAACTGTACATCTATTGGTAAGACAAACGCCAAAGTTTTGAACCTTGTCGACTGTAAGTTCGTTCTGGAGCAGAGCTGTGGAACTTTTTGCTTTTGTGGTGATGCTTGTGATGTGAAATTGAAGGAGAAGATATAGGACCATGCACCCATTTCTTTGCAGGACCTTCAGAGGATGTAGGTGGAGCTGCAATACTTGAGGGCCATATGGCACTATGAGGATGGGTGGCTATAAAAAGAAAAGAATCTGAATTAGTAATAGGAACAGGCACATTTTTTTCATTTGCTAGTTCATAGTTGGCAAATAAAACTACTTTTAGACTCCATTACCTTTATCTGGGGAGTGGTCTGAAGGCAATACGTGGTGGAATGCTTTTCTGGGAGGTAGCGCTACTAACTTTTCGTGTCTTTTCCAGCCAAAGCTGAGAGGAGAATTAGGAGAGACGGCATGTTCTGTAGCATACAAACACATCCATTCAGAAAATAATTGCTCATAACTAGTTCTGAGGAGAGAGCAAAACAGCTATCTAACGTATCAGAAAACAGCTATTTAACTTATCATGTTGCTATTTCTCTTCCTATGAACTTTCTAGTTATCTACTACAGTGTAGTAGATAACTAGAAAGTTCATTCAATGGGGTAGTGGGGTTTCGCACTTGGGACACAAGTTTGTCAGCTTACTCTAGTTATCTACTACATTGTAGTTGACAAACTGGTGTCCCTTATGAGTAGGCAACCATGAAAGGGACCATGCTTCTGACGGCAGAATACTGAGCGAGAGGCTCTCAGAGTGCAATTTTGAAGTTACAATATTGACATTTATTTCAGCTGGAAAGGTGTAATTCACAATGTTGATCAATTCTTCACCTTTTATGAAAAGACTAAACTGAGAAATATTTCGGTGCTTCAGGAATCCTGTCACATTTGAGCAATAACTCTTACTGCTCAGAAGTTAGAATAAGCAAGTACAGTAAGGAACTGCTCAGGGCAAGTTATTGAAATCATGCACCCTTACTCACTACATAATTTTTGTCATTTTCGAAATTAAAAATCACCAAAAATGGCCTGCAGGAATGTGGCCCAAGGTTTCAGATCAAACTGATGAACTTCCAAGCTCAAAGAACAGAGTTATGAATAAAACCAAACACCATTGCAAGTGATCCAATTGATCGTTTATGTTCCATGATCACTTGCAAAGGAAATGATATGATAGAAAGAAAAACATTGAAACATGAGGACCATTTGCCCAATTTCTTGATCACAGAAACGCGTGCTTCAGAGAACCCAGATCCTCAAATTGGTTAAAAATTTAAATTAATGAAGAGATCATATTGTACTTGATCAAATATATTTAAGTATAAAAAAACCAAACCAGACACTAAAAATTCAAACTTGTTACCTGCAGATCCGTGGAATGGCAAGACGCCAACAATCAAATACATTTGCACAAGCAGCAGATTCAGTTGCATGCCCATTTCATTAGCAGAGTCAGAGAAGGTGGAGCTCAATTCTCAAGATCTCAGCTCTCATCATTCAACCACAGAAGTGAGGAGCAGAACAGGCAGAGAGAACAAACTGGCACAAGAGCACCCTGAAGCAAAGCATGGCCTTTAATGAAGCAACCTCATGGTAAGTTCAGAGGTACAGAGGCAGACCCACATATAATACCAGAGAAGTAATGAGAGGCATTTTGAGTGAAACAAGTAGGTGGGAAAAACGCAATTGCTGTCGTTTAGAGACTAATAAGCTCTTGAATTTGGAAAGCTTAGAGAGTTCTAGTGGAATTGTCCTTTTTGTCATGGGAGTGATTAAAGGTTGCTGCAACTGATCAAGCAAAAAAGCAGCACACAGTCCACTTAAAAGCAGTATAAGTCCAAATTAGAAACTTTTCTGTAAGAAGTAGGTAAAACACAAATAGAGAGAGAGAGAGAGAGGAGAGAGAGAGAGAGAGAGAGAGAGAGTTCCAAGATTAATAAAATTTTATTATATGGTTTGAAAAGCATGGAAGACACTGTATTCTTTTAATCTAATGTGGATATTCTTGATTTCTTTTCAACTAATTGAGGGCAATTATTATTCCTCATTAGTTTCATTCAGGTTTGAAATATGAATGTGGTATGCAAAGGAATATGCTTGTTATGTCAAAGTTCCACTTCCAATAGCGATTTGTTTTGCGTGACCAATAGGCTTATATTCTAGATTAGATTGCTAGTGCTTCAATGGTCATTGCATAAGACGACCATATAGTCAATGGAAAGTGTAGTATTTTCTTTATCGTGACATAACTAAATTGACAATCTAACAACTCAATATTCTTACAACAATAAATTTAACGAGATAACTTAACTCATGTCGTAAGCAGGTTTTATAGATTGACATAAAGTTAGTTTTTGTTTTTTTTTTTTTTTTTTTTTTTTTTTTTTTGGTTAGGTTGTTGTTTTGTGTTGGATGGTTAAGCTCAAGCTCATTCCATATCAAGTGTCATGGGACCAAAATTTGCACAGGCAAATATTGTGCTTGTGATGTTGTGTGTTCAACCCCACACCACATGACTAATGTGGCAAATTTGCCCACGCTGCCAACATTTGACAATTCAATGCGACTAATGGGCTCTTATGAGAATGAAAATTTTCCAAGAATTTTCAACACCAAATTGAAATCCTAAACCAACAAAAAAGATGGTATCAGAAACATCTAAACACATTGGCATCTTCATGTACATAGCAAATAGATGGTGTTTCTATAAGCGACAAGCCTAAAAGATTTGGTAGTTGTTTAGGTACCATGTGCTGTGTTGGCCATGGCTGCCATATTTTCCATTACATAATTGACCGTGCTTGCTATAATTGGCGTCAATCACTCACCAGATTTACAAGTCTCTTGTATATGTCGGTGGCATTGATTGTCGGTGTCACTCTATTAAATCGAAGTAGTGTGATTGAAATTTACATCTTAAGATACAATTTTGATTACTGCACAACATCAACATGTCACATAACGTTACAATTATATAAAATATATTCTCGGCAAATGCAACCACGTATACCAAGTCTCTCTATTTCTATCAATCCTTAAACCTAATTAACTATAACCTTGTCAATTGTGTTACCACCTCAATGATAATGGAACATATTTACACACTTTATGATATTGACATAGAAATTAATCAAATAGCTTTTTGTCGTCCATGATGCTTTGCTTACACCTCAATAAGACACTGTGATTGCTATTTCCATTTCCTAGTGGTTTGTCAAAATCAACCATAGATGAATGGACCCCTTCTTAGCATTAGCCAGTAATATTTAATTTGCATTGACCCAAAAGTCCTTAAAGTATAATTAGTTCGTTTTGGATAGTTGGGCTGGTTTTAAACTTTTGTGTTGTTTTTTCTTGACTTGATTAGTTAGGTATTTTGTCATAGTGCACAAGCGAAGGGACATGTCATCGGTTCGAGTTTGACCTCAACTAAATTGCGAATTAATTAATGTAAATCAAGTGGGTTTTCTTCTTGGAAACCAATTGATTATGGGCTCAAATTGACCTGATCCGACCTTTTATTTTGGGCTGGGTTGATGTTTTACACTTTGAGTTTTAAACCCAATATGTATTTTTTTAATAATAAATATGAGCACATCCTTTTGGGTTGAAGTGGAAAATTGTTTTAAAACGAGCAAAGACAACATTAGAGGTCTTGGAGGAGAAGAGGAAGGAGAAAGTATGGCTTCCTCACTGCAATGTTGTTGATAGAATGGAGAGGGGTTTCTAGATATATAAAGCGAAGATAGGTTATGGTTGTTTGGGTTAGAGTTTAATGTCGAACAAATTGGATTTAAGATTAGTCAATGATCATTTTGTTTTGTGGTATTTAATTTACATTTTGTTGAAATAGGTCCTGAGTTTAAATCTCATGGACGTTATTTTAACCAACAACATATACGTAATTCGAACTATATATACATAAAACTTCTAACACATGATATGTTTTAACTAGACGATACTTGTCATATATAGTCTGGCACACACCCCCCCCCCCCCCCCCACCCCCCCCCCCCCCCCAAAAAAAGGGCGGCCCTGGGGTACTGCAAATAGCGCGCTATCGCACAAGACCCCCAATTTTTGAAGGCCCCCGAAAAATATTTTACTTGCATATTATATAATTAATACTATAAACATTTTATATATATTTCAGCTCGCAACACATTGACACAAGCGTGTGTTTGGCTGGTTTGGTTTCAAGCGCATTTCTCTTCATTTAAGGCCTTTTCGGGTAGAAATAAAGCTTGGGTGGTTTTGTTTTTTTATTTTTTTTAAAATAAAAACTAAAGTTAAATTTTTTTTTTTTTTTTTTTTTTTTTTTTTTTTTTTTTTTTGGTAGGTAAACATTTATATATATACATTATATATCCATCAATGTATATATATATATACCCTCACGCTTTCACCCCAATCAAAACAAAAAAAAAAAAAAAAAAAAAAAAAAAAATAATCATCATCATCATCATCAATCTCTTTTTGGTTCTTTTGTTCAATCCTTTGAGAATTTTTGTTTTTATTTCAAATTCAGGAATTTCAACACCAAAACATGAATATCCTAATTCCTAAATTCATAAAGACCACTCAAAATTTGTGCCATTGTTGATGATGAATTTTCGTTATATAAAAATAATTGTTTTATGACATTAAGTTATGGAAAATTATTATTTTTACTATTTGCGTATTAAATTATGTGAGAGTCTCAGTTTAAATTTCGTATAGAGTCCTCAAAATCTCATAACCGGCCCTACCCCATCCAATTAAGCTTTGAGGCATTTCTATTTCTCATGTATATCAATCGATCTCGTGATAACAATGACCCATAACCTTAGAGCTGTTGCTAATAGAAATCTTGACCTAGTTAATTTGGCAAGAAATACCCTCCATCATTGTTGGTGATGATAATAAACCTCCTTTTCTAATGAAACTTTTCCATCATTTGTAAAAAAATAGTATTATTATAATTTATAACAAAAACTCTTACCTACTACCATCCATCAGCTGGCACTAGTTGTGATTAATTAGTTTCAGCTAACCACTTGCTTAATTATGACTTAATTAACAATCTCAATGTACATTGGATGCTCAAGGTGATTAAAATTAGTTTAATGTGTTTTAATCACAAATCTATCTTTAATTAATTCATATTTTTATAACCTTTTCCTAACACAAAGATTTGACTCAAATTGGTTTGTGAAGGTAAATCTGAAATTTAATTAGGTTTACAGTTGAGATTAATTGAACGATGCCTTTTTGACTCTGGGAACATGTTAAATTACAAAGAAAATGATATATTTGTGCTTGAGCGTTTTTGTACATGCATTTTAACACACAAAAAAGGTGATAAGGTTGAGAGAGGGAGAGTCTTTGCACCATCAAACCCACTTTGGCGTAAAGTTTTGGCCAAGCACTAATCATCCCGAAGGGGAAAAACTGTCGGCTCAACATTATTTTGATTGTTTTCTAATATTTTTCATACAGAACGACATTAAAGGAGGAAGAATAGAACCTAGATTTAGGATACAGGGATAAAAAAAATATTGAAAAATATCTCGAACTACAAGTCCCTTACGATTATTTTTAATATTGAAACACATCTCGAATTCGATTTTCTCAATTCTTTATTCATAAGAAAATGTATCAAGTACACACTAGATGGTTGAGGGGGTTTTCTTTGGTGGAGGAAGTAAATGGGGGATTTGGGATGAATTTTTTATTTATTAATTTCATATTTGGAGGTACAAAACAACAACAACAAAATAATTTGACTCATTAATGCATGAATTAAGAAAACAATAAAACCACCAAGGACAGATGGATAATGTTAAACTAAAAGGAAATAAATTACACTATGGAAGTTGGGGGATCAATTAATTAGGTGGATCTTTGACTTCCATTATTCAATCATGATTGGAAAAACATAAAGGTTAAAAGTTCGTCGGATATAAATTAGAGTTGCATTGCAAGTGCAACTATTGTTGTTGGGTTCCCTGTAAAAAAGAAAAAATTAAAAAATTAACAGTTTTTCATTCGCAACAGAGTCCCTAAACCACCTATTTAGATAAAATTTTAAACATTCATTAAATACACATGGGTTAGTATACACAATAATTTTTTTAAATGTTAATCACGTATTATATATATATATATATCATACTTAAATTAATTATAAAAGTATATGATTGTATTTGTTATGAAAATAGAATCATGTGTGACATAATATGTCACATGATTCTATCAAGTGTCAATAATACGTATTATAGATTAAGGGCCGGTCGGGAGTAAATTAACAAATATACAAGCTTGACCTCTTCTTCATGATTAATAACCGTACCAGAAGCTAAGTCTTGCAACAAGGTTTTATATATACATTATTAGGGAAGCTTTAATTTACGGATCTTTGCCGTGCATACTCCGTCTTATATTTAATAATTTAAACTGTCTATTTTTCATGCATTCCTTCAAAAATATCACTTCAAAAAATCTTACTCTAATTCAAAATTATTTAACGACTTAATTAATAATTGTCATTTTAGTTTTTTCTTGAAATATCGTGTTCGTTTATTTTATGAATCGTAATTTACATTACGGCTTCCAAATTATTTACTTGAAATGAATGGTTGAAATACAATATGAATATAAAGTGAGCCCACAAATAATTATTTAAGGGATGCCTACATATAAAAGAAGTAGATGATACATCTGTGTCGTGGAAAGATTGTCCTCCACTTCCATGATGAACAGTGGACATCATCTTCACACGTGTGCTATACGCAGCTCTGTGTGTGTGAGAGACTGAGTCCAAAAGCAGGTGAGATGGAGATCGATATCTGTATGTTTGGTTAATTTCATCTAGGCGCGTGTGATGCACTCTATTATTGCCAAATTTAATCAATTAAACTTAATTAAACATGTTATTTTTGTCTCTAACACATCAATTATTCTTTTCTTTTTGGGAAATCAGCATCATCAATTCTTCTTATATGCCCATGAAAGAACAATGTACCTGCATTATTCAATAGACTGACTAATTATATATTTTAAGGCGGAACAAATACATCAATTCATTCATATTATTATATGAATTCTTAGTAATTATATTATGAATTATATGAGCAAGCGTGGTGATTTTCTCGGGGAAAAAAATGTAAGACAATTTATTGTCTTAGTCTATGAAAGATGATATTCTAATCCTAAAAGGACTCGAGTATTTTGATCGATTAGGAAATAGAACTTAACCTTATGAGATAAACACTTGTACATAGCTTATTAAAGTATAACGCAAGTGTTAATAGGATTTCTAATACAATATGGATTGAAACAAACCTAGTCTAATGCAAAAAGGACACTCGAATGCTTCTTGATAGGCAAGGCTTTCGAGTGATACATGTATAAATAGGGATCCCTTCCCTTGCAGTAAATACACTCTCAATACAAATTCTCACATTATCTAAGAGACAAGATAATATAAGGTGCTGCATAGATAAAAAAGACTCTCTACAATTACCATGACTAGTATTATTGTATAAAAGCTTAGTGCAGACTTAAAAAAAAATTCATTTTGGATTGAACAATATGCAAGAGGCGTAGGGCATCGGCAAAGGTTATAGGAAAAAAAAATCCAAAGTTACAATTGCAAGTTGCAACGAACTGATCAGATTCAAGTACAAATTCGTCTCATATAAGTAAATGCAAATCTGTTCACCACGCGCCCATGACAAGTGTGGGCATGATCTAAATTTATTAATTAGGCTTTTGGCTATGATGTTGCTATCTCCATTCCTCTCTCTTTACCAATTGCCATTCCACCTTGCTTCACCTCACAACACCACACCCTCTCTCTCCCTTTTTCTATAACCCAATAACACCTACCTTTTTTCTTTACGCTCTCTAGGCTCCAAAACTAGCCCCATACATCTCTCTCTCTCTCTTTCTGAACCAAGCCAGCTTTATCTCCTCTCCGAATACAAAAGCAAACACTTTTGTCCCTTCCTTTCTCTCTCAAAAAAAATTATCAAACACCTTCTCCATCTCCCTCTCTCTCCTACACAAACACCATGGCAGACAGAGTCTATCCTACAGCGAAACCGGCTACCGCGGCCCCCGCCACAGGAGCCAACCCCGCCTTCCCGGCTACTAAGGCCCAACTCTACAGCAACACGCGCCCAGCCTACCGTCCCCAACCCCACCACCGCCGCCGCAGCAGAAGCCGCTGCTGCTCCTGCTGCCTCTGGATCATCTTCCTCATCCTCCTCCAGCTCGTCATCGTCGCAGCCCTCGGCGCCGCCTTCTACGTCTTCTACCGCCCCCACCGCCCTTCCTTCTCCGTTACCTCCCTCAAGCTCCAAACCTTAAACTTCACCACCAACTCCCACCTCACCTCCAGCTTCAACCTGAACATCACCGCTCGAAACCCTAACAAGAAACTCGTGTTCATCTACAACCCCATGGCCATCTCCATCTTCTCCAACGACGTCGACATCGGCGACGGAATCATACCTTCCTTTGTGCATGGGAAGAAGAACACGACGCTGTTGAAGGCAAAGATCGCGAGCAGCGGGAAAGAGCTTCAGAGCAGTGAAGTGAGTGCTTTGAAGGCTGACATTAAGAGCAAAAGTGGGCTGCCATTGAAGGTCAGGTTGGACACTAAGTGAGAGTGAAGGTGCTTGGGCTGAAGACTCCAAGAATTGGAATTAGGGTTAAGTGTGAGGGGATTAGGGTTACTTCTCTTCCAACTGCTAAAGCTCCTGCCACTGCTTCTACTTCCAACGCTAAGTGTAAGGTTGACGTTAGAGTCAAGATCTGGAAATGGACCCTGTGAGGGGAAATTGAATTTGCAAAATTTAAGAAAGAAAAGGAAAAGAAAAAAAGGTGTGATATAATTTTTTTTTTGTTTTCTTTCAAAGATTTTGTATTATTTGTCTTATATTTTTGCGAATTTAATTTTGTGATTATTTTTTATTATGTTTTGTTAATGAAAGGGTGGTGGTTGATATTGTATATTGTGTTAGAAAGCAAGTTGTTAATTTGTTGTATTAAGAAATTGTTTGTGTATTAGCTAGGTATTATCTGTTTCAAGATGTATATTATCACAGTTTTCCATTTAGTCGTATTATGAACTGTACATGTGCAAACGTGCAGTTTGGGAAAAAAGTCAAATACTCTTATAGATGCGAAAATAAAAAGGAAGTTGCTGAGCCCAGTAGCAGCGTGGGTTTGTAACTAAATGAGGCATTAAAGTGATTGGTTATTTGATTGAAACCTTCTCGAGTGAGGGGTGGTTTTGAGCTATTCACCTTGACTTTAGGCAAGTGAAGTCGGACAAAGCACACCCCTTATCCTCGGGTTAGTAGAGTCCCCAACCACAAACGGTAGGTAGCAAACCACAAACTCAACTCCTTTTTCATTTTTTTCAACCTCGCATTAGGCCAGATCTTGATATTTGGGTAAAATATATGTTCAGAAAAATAAAATTGGGTTTTACATGCATTAGTTTACAAAAATGAAATAAAAAGATGGAAACAAGTTTTTTTTCTTCAGTTGTGGGCATTATTTTGCATTTTCATGTCAGTTATATGCCAGGAAAAATAAGCAATTTAGTTCAGTTTGTATTTAAGTTTGTGTAATGTGCAAGTAAAAGTTTGATATTTGTGTCGGTGGGCGCCGCTTCAATAATTGAAGTTGAATTTTGAAGTTTGAACAGTGAGGAGGGGCCCCAAAGGTATTTTTCTAGTATGAGGAAGTGCTTTGGCCTGCAATGCATGTGTTTGTGTTTGGAAAGATGGAAAGCACTTCCTGTGCAAACGGTGACAGAATAGCATGTGCTACAAATATGTCATGATTGTTTCATCATTCCTGGTTAGCAACTTAGCCCCGATAAATACTAGAAAAATCAATTAATGTAACAATTTCTTATTTATTATGAATGAATAAGGTCGAGAAAAAACGTAGAATGAAAACAAATGAATCATTGTCGTATCAGTTGATATTCAAAAATTCATGTATCATTAAAAACTTAAATTGAGTCGAACCTTTACATGTCTAGCTTAGTTATGTTTTTGTACAACATACCAATTTGACTTGACAAATGCACAAATTCATCATCAATAGCAAATTCCCTCATTGGGTATAACCTACTAAGCACTTTGTTGACCAATTTTCACTACCCATAAAGAATCCCATCATTCGTGCAATTTCATCCAAAGTTTTTATTCGTTTACCATCTCAATTGATCACTTAGGGTATCGTACAATTCTTTTTTATTGGATGGAAGATTCACTTTTATACAAAATCCGCTTTTTCTGACCAAATAATCCACATTCACACGACCCGTTTTGAGATTGTAGAAATAACAAGACTGCATTACAATTTACAAGCGATGTTTATGACCAGTAGATATAATAAAGCTGGTGTTTGGTGACGGATGCTAATAATAATTGTTATCTTTGATTGTGATGTGCAAGAAGAAGCATTATCGCCACTAATTATAAAGTGCTTTATCTTATCAAACTAAACTTAGTATACAAATGAGTATGACACATCATGCTGGAGATGAATATCTAACCCCGCACCGTTTCCTCTTTTTTTTTGGTATGAAAGATGAAATTTCATAACAACTAGGCAAAAAGCCGAGAGAAATACAAGATCCACAAAACAGTAAAGTATAATAATAACACTATTACAAGAAAGAGGACAACTAAAGAAGACGTAGTCATAGAGACGGCAATTCTTCTTCTTGAGATGCCACTATTTCTCGTTAATTTATGTGTGCAGCTTGCACTTCACTTTTGGCTGTTGCCAAGGGCACATCAGCTTTATTTATATGACCAGCCTATTCAATCAATAGTCTAATAATATAACATATTGAATTATATATGATTACCAAGTGTCACCATAAAAATAGTAATATATTATTTATGGTTAAATTTTTAATAAAATACAATGATCTTATATGTAGTGAATGTTGAGCATGGTGATACATCTAATAATTTTTGGTTGTGATGTGACTATAACGTGTTTATATTTATCGATACTTTATAAACTCGTCACTTGTTCATAGTATAACACATAAATTGATAACACCAAAAGAAGACTTACTACATACAATAATTTCTCTTGATGATGATAACATTAACAAAAAAAAAAAAAAAAAAAAAAAAAAAAAAAACAGAAGAACCATTGACATTCTTCAATTTTCCAGGCCCAATATTTCTCAATTAATCTCTTTCTCAAATCTCATAATTTCAAGCCCAACACCCAAATTTACAATCATTCTAAAAGGCTAAAACCCTACTAAAGCCCCTGACTTTCAAACCCAAAACACTGTTTTTCTTTGCAGACGCTCATCACTCTCATCAGTGTCTCTGTGAGTGCAATTCCGGCCATGTATCGAATAGCTTCAAAATTAGCGTCTTCCGTCGCTTCTTCTACTTCCAGGAAATTGGTAGCTACTAACTTTCTGTTCTTTTTTGCTCACAAATTCCATTTTCATTCATGGCATTTCATACTATTTTGCTTTACATTTCTTCTTTCTTAAAACTCTTCTGGGAAAGTTTGCGGAAAAGGGAATGTTGGATTTTTAGTGTTCATGCTATTCTTTGGTTTCTGGGAAATGAAACATGAACTTAGTTTCGCACTGTCATATGATAAGAAGCTCAATATGACCACAAAGTTTGTAAATTTAGTTTGGTTTCTTTTCCTGCATTTTCTTAAAAACCAAACGGAGCATATGGTTATATTTGAAGGATCATAATTTGATTGATTGATTAATTTGGGTGATGTAATATGAAAGACTCCAAGTTTTCTGAAATTTCTTTATTGAATGTTTTTTGTTCATCAATGCATTGCTGACTGATGGTTATGAACTTTTTCTTTTGTTGGTTGTTGATGTGATTTGGAAAGGTATGTAGTAGGGTTATATGTAATAGGAATTATGTGGCAAAAGATATCAGTTTCGGGGTTGGGGCTCGCGCCGCTTTGTTGCAAGGTGTCTCTGAGGTGGCAGAGGCTGTCAAAGTTACAATGGGACCAAAGGTAATGGATTAATATTCTTACATTTCTATCTAGGTTTGTTTGTTTGTTTGTTTGTTTGTTTTTTTTTTGGTCATACTTCATTAATATAATTTCCCGTGGAGCTCAGTGTGTAATGGACATTTCTTTACTAGTATAAATATAAGTTGCATGAACAAGGAACAGTAGTGAGAACCAAATCTTGTGTAGCTGATGGTTGAAGTGAATTCTTTGTAGTCCTAGATTTGATTTCTTTCAGCGAAAGTGAAATGAAAAATCACTGAGGTTTTATCTTTTGTCTCATGCTGGTTGATTGATTCAGGGTCGATATGTGATAATTGAGAACAGTCACAAGGATCCAAAGGTCACAAAGGATGGTGTTACAGTTGCGAAAAGCATTAGTTTCAAGGGAAAGTACAAGAATGTGGGTGCCGATCTTGTGAAGCAGGTTGCTAAAGCTACTAATACTACTGCAGGAGACGGTACTTCTTTCTTAAATCTATCTCATAAACATAACTAAATTTGAGGTTAAGGAATAGGCCTCCTGACTCAGGGACTTCACTTTAGTTGCACAATGGAAGCTCAAATGTCAAAATTGATCATGTAAATTAAAATATTAAAGTCTTTCTCGGAGAGGTGTTGATCATCTTATTCCAGGTACGACTTGTGCAACTGTCCTGACCCAAGCAATACTCACAGAAGGTTGCAAGTCAATAGCTGCTGGGGTAAATGCAATGGATTTGCGCATTGGTATCAATATGGCAGTTGATGCTGTTGTTTCTGATCTGAAAAGCAGAGCATTGATGATAAGCACACCAGACGAGATTACACAGGTGATGTGACTTCTTGGAAAAAAAATGTTGAAATCCCAAACCATATTATACAGATCTTCCTATGAGGACAGGAAATAGATGGGGATGTACTTTAAAAAAGGTCTTCAGGTTTTGGTAATTGATAAAATCTATTTCCTATAAGTTCAGTGAAAGTTGTGCTCTTTATCAGTCTCGTTAACTTTATCTTGTATGACGGGTCTTTCCATAGAAACACGAGAGCAGTGCAGCCTTTCGAAACATGCTGAGGGTATTATTATAGTTTCTCCATTGAAATACCAATTAAAGCTTAGGTGGATGGTTTGAAGTGTTTGTGCTCATGCATATTGTTGATTGCTCTGACTGGATGTTCATATGACAAATAAGTTGCACTACATGTCTGAATCATTGTTTTATTGGACATTCCGGCTTGAATAATATTATGAAATAGGTTGCTACTATTTCTGCAAATGGTGAACGAGAGATTGGAGAGCTGATAGCAAGAGCAATGGAGAAAGTGGGGAAGGAAGGAGTCATTACTGTTGCCGTGAGCATCTTTTTTTTTATTTTATAAATTATTATGTTTGACAAACATGTGAGTTGTTTGTTATGGTTCCTCAAATTTTCGTATTTTTGTAGGATGGGAATACTTTGGATAATGAATTGGAAGTGGTGGAAGGGTTGAAGCTAAGCAGAGGCTACATTTCTCCTTACTTTATCACTGACCAAAAGACTCAGAAATGTGTAAGTTCAGATATTTGCTGTAAGCAGAAATGTGAATTAGTTCCTATTCCTAATTATGATACAACAAAGTCAGCACTAAATATTTGCTAATGGATTATTGTGAACTTTTGCTTGTCTGTATATTCCTTAAAAGGCAAATTTACTTATTAAAAAAAAAATCTCTTAGCACCAGAGGGTCTGAAAATATCTCAACCTGGCCATATTTACCCTATTATTCACGGACTTAACTTTGGTCTTGGACTCTTGTGACGGTACTGTTCGTGTAGTTGCTTATGTATTCTCGTCTTTATTGAGTTGAAGGTTTATGCTTTATATATCTTGTCATCAGTTTATATATCTGTGGTCATTTTGTGTTTGTTTCTGCCATAGTTTTGAGGCTACTCAATTATAAACTTTTGTAAAAAGTAACATGCTGTCTTTATTGTTTTTTCTTCTTTCCTTCATGCTTGATCTTTATTTCACCAGTGTAATCTCTTAACTTATAATTTAATTTGACCTGCAATATGGAAGTTACAATTTTCATGTCTGCAGGAACTGGAAAACCCACTGATCCTCATTTATGAAAAGAAAATTTCGGACCTGAATTCACTTGTGAAAATACTAGAGCTGGCAGTAAACGTAAGTAGCATGTTTCTGATTGTTTACCTTTTATGTTCAACGGTGAGTAAATAATCATTTGAAATATAGATAAGATATTCATCTCCTGTTCCTCTTTCCATCTAATTTTAAACAGAAACTTAGACCACTTCTTATTGTGGCCGAGGATGTCGAAGGTGATCCACTTGCTATGCTAATACTCAACAAACATCATGCTGGGGTTAAGGTATGCTTTTGACTTACTGTGCAAGGTTCATCATGCATCAGATGATACAAGAAGTATTTGTCGTTTCATTTTCAATTTCAATTATATGAGTTGGTTGTGAAATACTAAACATTTTGATAGCTAAAATGTGTCTTCTAGAGACAGCATGGTGTTGGTAGATATGTCTTTATCTGAGAACATGTATAATAATACATTTATATATCTACATATCTCTTTTGAGAACATGCATCTCTTACCCCAAAAAAAAACATGTATTAATCGTATTGGAGATGTATCTCATCATAGTGTGAGAGAAGAAATATCAGTGATATATATATATATATATATATCATATATGTTTTCATGCATGCATGGCTGCATTTCTATATACATAAGCATTTGTGCATTTTTTCTTGGAAAGTGTGATTTTTTATCTGCCTAGAAACCCTAAGGGATTGTTTTGAATGAAACCATATGAGTTGAAGGATTATTATAACATGAAAGGAAATTGTTTGCAGGGAACTACTAAAAAAATTAAAATATTACAAAGTATATCTCTTCAACTAGGGTCCTAAATTTTTCCTTACTCATATTATGAATGGATTAATAGTGTATTGTATTGGTGAGTATCTATACATATGTTTTACGTTTGATGTTTTACAATTAGCATGATGTTTTGACATAAATTTTGTACTTTTTCATGTCAACATGCACTATTGTGACAAGTGGAATATTGTTAGGTTTGTGCTATCAAAGCTCCTGGTTTTGGGGAAAACAGGAAAGCTAATTTAGACGATCTCGCTGTTCTTACTGGGGGAGAGGTAATACAGTTTCAAAGCATTAAATTATATACATGTTGACTTGTAAGTTGTAGTAGTGTAATTATGCATTCATTATACAGGTTATCACCGAAGATCGTGGTTTAACTCTCGACAAAGTCCAGTTTGAAATGCTTGGTACTGCAAAAAAGGTTTGCATTTTCACTGCATGATATGTTTTACTCATATGTCTGGCAAATCATGACCAAATTTAAAACAGGTGACTGTCTCTCTTGACGACACCATCATTCTACATGGAGGTGGGGATAAGAAACAGATTGAAGAAAGATGTGAGGAGGTATGCCCTTACATAAATTTTCCCTTTTCTAGTGTTGTCAGTTAAACTTCTATTGATATATTGGTCATATGTATTTCTCGTACATCTTATTGTTGATTATGTGAATCACAGTGTGTGTGTGTGTGTGTTTTTTAGAATTATAACTTGATGTAAAAATTTAAATGTCCTTAAATTAGTTATATGCATGTAATTTAAAATTTTCCGCAAATTCTTGCACATGATTAACTATGACCTTAAGCACTATTTTTATTCATCTGGTTCTACTGAATGATACCGTCGTTCACTAAATATTTATACAAGCATAGGTTTCTCTCATACTGAACAGAACTCTATTTCAACTCAACTGAGATGAGCGACTCTTTGGCCGCTTCTTCAGGGGCATTATTTCTCCTTGTCTTTGTGTTTTGGAATGCATGCTTTAGATCCAAGGACTGCCCTATGGTAAATCTTGTATGCTGACAATGACAATGCAAATTAAAGACTCAGGTTGTTAGAAAGTTACAAAGCAGTTATAACAACACTGCTGCTATTGTTCCAACTCAATCCTTATCTTGTGTAACAGAAATACCTTGCATGTTGTTTTTAGAAAGTCTTATTAATTCATCTAGCAGGAAGTAGTGTGCCTTTCTAGGTTCACACCTTTTAATAATAGGTGTCTTTTCCCTTCCTGCAAATTTACTTTTTTATTTTTTATTTTTTATTGTTGTGTATTTTCCCCACTGGAGTAAGTCCTAGCTTAAGTAGTCTTGGAACAAACAACTGATTTTCCAGTTTAAAAGACCCAAAAGATTTATTAATTGCTGAATATGAAGATCCTTCAGAAGTGTTTCTCAAGTTTTTTTTTCTCTGCAAAAGAGCCCAGGTTTCTCATATTGTACTTCCTGAAACCATCTGTAAAATTGTAAAATATTTGCTAATTCTTAATATTTTCTTAGAGTTGTTTAGCTTTATTCATGATTAAAATAACTTTTATGAATTTTAAAGAGAGACCATGATGAGGGTTCAGGTAGATCTGATATTATCAACCGATAAATTAGAGAAAGCACTGTCAAAGGTTTTTGAGCAGTCTAATAACACTAAATACATTTTACAGTTGAGAACAGCAATGGAGAAGAGTACCGCCATGTTTGACAAGGAGAAAGCACAGGAGCGGCTGTCAAAGCTATCTGGTGGAGTTGCTGTTTTCAAGGTATGTTATTCACCTTTATGAATTGATGTCATATGTTGCGTATTTTATGCTCTCAGATACTAACATATCTTTTTCTTCTAACAGGTTGGAGGGGTTAGTGAGGCAGAAGTCGGGGAAAGGAAAGATAGGGTAACAGATGCTTTAAATGCTACAAGAGCAGCTGTGGAAGAGGGTATTGTGCCAGGTTGGTTGATTTTGCCATTTGTCAGTCAAATATGTTTTCATTTCTACCCGCATAATAAAAGCACAAGTGTTGTCTTTAGGTGGTGGTGTTGCTCTCTTGTATGCTACAAAAGCTTTGGATAACCTTCACGTGCAAAATGAAGACCAAAGAAGAGGAGTACAAATAATCCAGAATGCTCTTAAGGTTTACTTCGATTGAGTCTCTTGGCATTTCTTTTTGGGGGTTTATTTTTGTAAGTTTTCCTGATGGTATACATATTGTTTACTTGGAATAGGCACCTACGTTCACTATAGTTTCAAATGCTGGTTTTGATGGTCCACTGGTTCTTGGTAAATTGTTGGAACAAGATGATCCTAAATTGGGTTATGATGCGGCCAAAGGTTGGTTATTCATTTTCTATGTTGTTTTTCTTTATTTCAATACTTACATCTTGGCCAACTTTACGACATTTATTACCTGTTCTTGAGCTCTGTCGTTTCTAAACTATCTTGATTTTGTTGTTATTTGGTTTAATCATCTTTATGTTGGCCAAGTTGAGTTGTTCTTAAACACTTTCCTCCCAATTACAGATGAAAAACACTTGAAATATGTTCATTATATAACAAACTGATATCAGAAAATAACTTTTGAGTTCTTATGTTTGCTTTGTTTTCATTTTTCATCATTCGGTGAGATCTTATCAAAGTTTCAGCTTCTGAACTTATTCGCAAGTTTGGCTGTTCTAAACATTCTCCGCTTCTTTTCCTGCCGCTTAATCGCGGTGCTTGTGAATAGGGGAATACGTTGACATGGTGAAGGCTGGCATCATAGATCCTCTGAAAGTCATTAGAACCGCCTTGGTAGATGCTGCCAGGTGAAATGGGTGGTCTGTTTTGTGATAAACGCTTTTGCTATGTGGTGTTCTGCTATCTCAAACCGGTATGCGTTCTCTTTTGCAGTGTTTCGTTGCTGTTGACAACAACTGAGGCAGCTGTGGTGGACAAACCAAATGAGAAAAAACCTCCCAGCCGTGTGCCAGATATGGATGCTTTGGGAGGCTACTAACTTGTTTTAGTCACGAAATTGAACAGAAACATCACGGAGTGTGTTATGTAACAATATAGGGCCTTGTGTTATCTATTTTTCGAGAACAATAAATATTTTGATACGGGAATTCAGTAGTCGATATTGAAAGGCAATGGCAATTCCACAAGTCATTAATAATATTTTAGTTTAACAGCAACATCATATGGGACTGGTGAATGATTCTCTACTGAAAACGTACTCATATTAGTTATAGTTAATCTATTGTAATAATATAACATAATTATGAATCAGTATATTGAGTTGAGTTTATGATCATGATCATTTGACCTAGTGGCGCTCCGTCTTTATTTTGTTTGAGGATATCAAATTCAAATCTTATGGAGAATGGATACGTTAAATGGAATGAGAAACTATGATAAGTGAAAAAAAATGTATATTAACATGTAAATACTTCAAAAATTCAAAATTAAAAAATAAAAAAAAAGATAATTTTTTTTAAGGACAGAAAAGCTAGTTCTTTTTAAATATTCGGCTGCTTCGAACAAGTTATTTCTCCCGCCAACTTATGAACTTCTGATAGAACAACCACCAATTCTTGATGACAACGGCTCTGTTTTTCAAAATCTCAACTTCTTCATGCTTCATGCTTCGTCTCAACGTTTCATATCAACCTCTTCGCGTCTCCATCATACCCATTTCCGTTTCCCACCAAAACCTAGCCGTTCTTTCTCTAAACCCCGCCATATTCATCAGACCCAGATCATATCACACCCGTCCTGTACCACCCACAATGAATTTCTTGATTTCTTTGAACACATTCTTCGGCAATGCACTGGACATAAACAGTGCAAACAAGTTCATGCCCAAATTATCACCACCGGCACGTCTCAGTCGGAATTCTTGGCCGCCAAACTTGTGACTGCTTATGCACGCATTGGGCTCATCTTTGATGCCCAGAAAGTTTTTGACACCGGCCCAGTTGAGGGCAGATCAAACTTGCTCTTGTGGAATTCAATTCTTAGAGCTAATGTCTCTCATGGGTTCTATGAACAAGCACTCAAACTGTATGATAAAATGAAAAACCTTGGGGTTTTGGGAGATGGGTTTACTTTTCCTTTGGTTATTAGGGCCTGTGCGTTTATGGATAGGCTTAAGTTGTCCAAGAATGTGCATAGTCATGTTTTACAAATGGGTTTTCAGAATCATCTTCATGTTGTCAATGAGTTGATAGGAATGTACGGGAAACTTGGTCGAATGGATTGTGCCCGCCGGTTGTTTGATAGAATGCGTGTTAGAAGCTATGTTTCGTGGAATACTATGGTCTCCAGTTATGCTTTTAACTATGATTGTGATGGTGCTACAGAGATGTTTAGGAGGATGGAGTTAGAGGGGTTGGAGCCAAACCCTGTGACTTGGACTTCATTATTGTCAAGTCATGCTCGCTGTGGCCGCCGTGAAGAGACCATACAGTTGTTTGGTATGATGAGGGTTAGAGGAGTTGGGACTACTGCTGAGGTGCTTGCTGTGGTGTTATCCGTATGTGCTGATTTGGCTGTGGTTGACAGGGGTAAGATGATTCATGGATATGTTATAAGGGGTGGTTTCAAAGATTACTTATTTGTGGAAAATGCTCTAATATGCATGTATGGAAAATGTGGACATGTAGAAGATGCAGACAAATTGTTTTTGGGGATGGAAAGCAAGAACCTTGTCAGTTGGAATGCTTTGATCTCATGTTATGCTGAATCTGGTTTGTGTGATGAGGCTTTCACAATATTTTCCCAGCTGAATAATCATCCATTTATGAGACCTAACATCATAAGTTGGAGTGCTGTTATTGGAGGTTTTTCTTCCAAGGGACGAGGAGAGGAGTCTCTAGAACTCTTTCGGCAGATGCAGAGTATAGGAGTAATGGCCAATTCTGTCACTATATCCAGTGTTTTATCTGTTTGTGCTGAATTAGCAGTACTGAATCTTGGTAAGGAAATTCATGGTCATGTGGTTAGGGCTTTGATGCAAGCTAACATTTTGGTTGGGAATGGCTTGGTTAATATGTACACAAAGTGTGGAAGTTTTAAGCAAGGGCATCTAGTATTTGAGAATATTGACAGTAAGGACTTGATATCATGGAACACTATGATTGCTGGGTATGGGATGCATGGACTTGGTGAGAATGCTCTAAGAATTTTTTACCAGATGCTCGAATTGGGATTCAAGCCAGACAACATAACATTTATTGCTGTTCTTTCTGCTTGTAGTCATGTCGGGCTAGTCACTGAGGGTTGTCGCCTTTTTTATCAGATGATTGAAATTTATTGTATAGAACCCCAGATGGAGCACTATGCGTGCATGGTTGATCTTCTTGGCCGTGCTGGGTTATTGCATGAAGGAAGCAACATTGTGAAAAACATGCCAATGGAACCCAACGCCCGTGTTTGGGGTGCCCTTCTCAATTCTTGTAGGATGCACAAAAATACAGATATCGCAGAAGAAACTGCCACCCACATTTTCAACATGAACTCAGAAATTACCGGGAGCTACATGCTGCTGTCCAATATTTATGCTGCTAGCGGGAGATGGGAGGACTCGGCAAAGGTGAGGATCTCAGCAAAGACAAAGGGATTGAAGAAAATCCGGGGGCTGAGTTGGATTGAGGTGAAGAACAAAGTCTTTATGTTTTCAGCAGGGAACACTATGCAAGGAGGCTTGGAGTTAATTCATGGTATCCTCAAAGACTTGGCGCTTCAAATGGAGCGTGAGGGCTATACACCCGATAAGAGAATCATTCAACAGAACGTTGACAAAGAGCTGAATCTTATGGGTGAGGCATAGTGAGAGAGGCTAGACATAATACATTCAACTCCAGTTTCAATACCAATTTCTTCTCAAAGGTGACAAGTGATTGCTTAGATTATATGTTATTTTTGCTAAGATGGTTAGATGTATTGTCTTTGTAGATAATTCCCATTTTCTTTATAAATGGCAATCAACTCACCCAACTGAGTTACATTAAATATATTTATTTCTTTTGCTTTCAGAGACTTCTGGTGAGCAAAATTTTTTCTTCTTCTTAACTTTGGGTTATGAGTACGGAAAGAGGAACATTGTTAGAACCCTAACCCATTGGCTCAGACTCTGAGTCCAATTACACTTGGGGTTAGAGTTTGGGCCAGTTTTTTTATTTTGGGTTTAATTAATGGAGCGTTCGGTTTTTCAATGGACATGGAATGTGCTTTAATTCTTTTGTGTTTCGTACTATTTGGAGGCACACATAAATTGCCTTCTTGAATTTGATCCATAACAAATGCAAGAAAATTGGTTTTTTATTCACGAGAAAGGGGATTCAAACTCAGAACTTCTTTCAACATTGAGAAGAAAAATATCACACCAACAACTAGTTGGTAACACAAGAAAAATCTTAAACAACCCAGTCTTGAATACATTAAAAAAAAAGGTCATTTATTGACTCAATTCATGAATCATAAAGAAGATTAGCTACATATAATTTAAAATCATGTAGGGGCTTCTAACTCAAGCGATAAAACTTTACCCTTGAATCTAACCCAACTCTCCCTTAATTTAAAAAAGATAAAAGATAAAAGAAACATTATGATGATATAAGTAATTTTGTGTTTGGTACTACAAACCTCTGCTGATGATCACCAATATCCTCAGGCTGGAACCTGACCTCCCCATTTCTCTGATCATCATCACAAGGAATCTCAACAAAGGACTTCAAATCTTCACAATCATTGGCATTCATACCACCACCATGCTTGATATCCAATGAAGACATAGAATCTTGCATGGCCCACATGTTCATATCTTCATGCAAATGCTGATGTGGGTTATTATTATTGTTATTGCTATTACTATTAGGGCTATTAATGTTGTTATTTTGAACAAGCACATAGGGCACTTCTTGTTGCTGCTGTTCTTGTTGCACAGCAGGCAATGCATGAGGATGAGGCTGAACATAATGGTAATGGGCAACTTGGTTGTTGTAAAAACTCAAAGGGTCCATATTAATCAACTGATCACATGAATTCTGATCTCCAACTTCGGGGATTTGAATGTGGTTCTGTTGCTGCTGCTGCTGTGCTTGTGCTCTGCATATGGCTAGCTGGTGAAGAACAATGTCGAGCTCCGCCTTGTTATACTCGATGAGACGCTGCAGCTCCCGAATGATTCTGTAGCACCCGCCAACAGGATCGTTGGCTCGAATATCAGACTGGAAGATGATGGTGCGCATGGCCTCTTCCTTGTCGGATGGATTAAGGTGTTTGATAATTTTTGTGATGTTGCTGACGCCAAACAATTTATGAGCGTTGAGGAACTGGCGTTGGCGATCGTGAGGGAAAAAAGGGGCGAGAATGCAATCAGGAGCGCACTTCCTGCGTTGGTATTTGCAAGCAGCGCAAGCTTGGGCGTTGCCGTTACCTTTTGTGGTAGTAGGTGTTGTTGGTGTTGGGATTTGATGATGAGTATGGTTGCTAATACTACTCATGATAATTTCTTTTTGGGTTGATGTGTTGTTGGTAATCGAATGCGTCTCCGGCGGGGGTGGTAGAGGCGGTTTTTTTTCTTGATGAGGCTTTTTTTTCTGGGGGGTTTCCCTTATTTTCTCAATGGAAATGAAGGGGGAAGTGGGATGAGGGATGGGGAGAGATGAGAGGAAAGGTGGACACATAAGAGAGACAGAGAGGCAGATCTTAACCGATTCAGTTGTGGATTGGTGATATTTTTGGTAATGATATGTTTAGTGGGTGTTGTAATATTAGATGTTTTCTAATTTGTGGAAACTCAAAAATAGGGTGTCCGAATGATTAATCTTAACCAAAAAAATGAAAAAAGAAGAGCATGGTGTATCTATTTTTGGGTAAACCAGATAAGCATTGTCCATCCAATTTTGATTCGGTGCAAGAGTGAGACAGAGGAGGGAAGGAAACAGCAATCATGTCCCTTTTTGCATGCAATCCTCTAATTCAATAATAGAACAGATAAATGTAAAGGCTTACATGTTAAAAACTCGGAATTTAGTTAAAAGTTGAAAATTTAAGAGGAGAAATTGACAATTCTCTTATTTGGCAACTTAACAGCGGAATTTATTAAATAACGCACGGAAAAAGTTGTGAAAATTGGAGCATCAAATTCTCGAGTTTAATTTCCACCAAAATAAGCGTCATTTCACAAATTCTATACTATCATTTACAAAATTCGACATATATAAATCAAAACACTGAAATCTTCAATTGCTTGAAATTGAAATGATAGAAATCTAATTCTTCTATGTAATTTTCAATTCTTGAAGGAGGGTTTAATGATGATTATCAACAGGGGAAAAGACATTGTCATGATTACAGAATATCCAACACCCTATTACATGTTTCAGTTTCAGACTCCTTCCAACGGGTAACTAATACAATGCTCTTTTTTTTTAATGATTTTTTTTGGGGTAAACAAATAATAAGGTCCAAGGCTTAGAGAGCCTGCCCTCTCTAATCAGTCGACTCAATCCAGCTGTCCAAGGACCTGTCTTCCTCTAGAATTTCACTAGTCTGTGAATAGCTCAACTGCAACAAGACCTGGTTTCAAGATTCAAAATGATGGTGAGAAGCTGTGACGACTTGGGAGATAGAAATAATAAAGACACATTATTCTATGTTCTGAGAAAATTTGATGTCAAGCATATACTGGTAGGTTGAAATGAGCAACAAGTAGAAATTTGGCATTTGAAAACACAAGAGAATAGATATTCCATTGATGGAAAAATTCTGAAACAGCGAGGATACATGCGCTAAGAAAACAAAATTTAAGAGCTCAACTCTTAAGAAGAAGAAAAAGGCATGTGAGAAGGGTGATCTTACAATCTGCAAACAGCTACGGCTCAGACTTGAGGAGGTCTTCAACAGAGTTTCTGTACTTGGTAATCAGGTCCCTGGTGTTCAGTTGAATAACCAAAAAACAAAAGCAACATGTCATTTAATTTAATTGAGCAACTGCAGCATTTACTTAGTCTTAATACAAGAAGTATAGTACTACTAATGTGCACACACCTCCTCTGATTCAACAATTGTTCACTTTCTTCCAGCTTTCGCTTCTGTCCCTCAACCGTCTACAACCACACAAACACACAAGTTCTTAAACATTACACTACAAAACTAATGAAATGTTTCTGGGTATGCTCTGTACCAAACTATAAATCCAAATCATTGATCATTTAAAACATGCTTAATCCAAACTTACTGGCAACATAACATGAAGAAGACTGTAACACAAGATGACATAACACATAAAAACTAAAAACTATCACACTAAACAATGTAATGCCCCCATTGATTACTCAACAAACCAACAAACCAAGAATCAAAGTTACTTGATTACCATAGCCTTGGTGCTGATTGATCCGGATATGGAGTTCAACAGCTGCTGGCACTTCTCAAAGTGGTTGTTCAAATCACTGATCTGTCAAAACCCATTACCCAATTCAACTGTAAATTCATAAAAAATAAACTTCAAGATAACAACTTTAATGACAGAAGAAAAAAGCCCCAATTAAACAATACCAATGATTCAGATTGCTGATCCCTAGTGCCATTCTCGATGGTGTCAGCTAATTTCTCCACCAACTGCATTATCAAATCAATCACTTCAAAAAATCAGCAACACTTCATATTGATAAGGATATGTGTATGCATGCATTTATGTTTGTAAATGCTAGGGTTTTTTATTTTGGGTACATGAAAGAGATGGAAGTGTGAGGCGAGTGACTGGTGATGCTGCTGCTGCTGCTGCTGTTGTTGTTGTTGCTGCTGCTGCTGTTGCTGTTGCTGTTGCTGTTGTTGAAGAAGAAGGCGCTGTTGTTGCTGTTGAAACTGTTGTTGTTGTTGTTGCTGCTGCTGCTGATGATGGAGATACATATGGTCCTGACTCGAGGGTGTAGAGGGGTTACTGTGAGTCGGCACGCTTGGAATCATATTCCAGCTTCCTCCCCCTCCTCCTCCTCCTCCAGAGTACGAATGCTCCATTCTCTCTCCGCAGAACGATTCTCAGGACGTAAAGTTTTGAACTTTGATTTATGCAGCAGAGTTGAAGAAGCAGCCTGATGCTATACGACGTGTCGTACTTTTGTGAGTGATTGGGCCGGGTAAAAATTGGGTCTTTAGCCCAAATCAACACTATGTCGTCTCGGGCACAGAGAGAGAGAGAGAGAGAGAGAGCATTGCCTTGCGAACGATTGCAGACCTCATTTTCTAGTTTCCGAGAGAGGAGTTACTTAAAAGGCGGGCGCCATTTCTCAATCTCTCTCTCTTTCTCCCTTTGTCCCCAAATTCACAAACAATAAAAGTTTCAACTTTGTCGAGGAATCAAAGCTTCTTTCTACGGGTTTGCGGTTCGCTTTCTAACTCTTACATTATGTGAATGTATGTGACTGTATGTATGTGATGTTGGTTTTGGGAATTTTGTGATTTCAATGATTTTTGGTGATCGAATTCTATTGTATGATTGAAACTATCATCTGGGTATATGTGATTTGATTGCTTTATGCAGAAAACACCTAGCTTTGAGGTTACTAATGTAATTGGAGGAGATTAGAAATTGTTTCAAGGAAAAATGGTGTCGGCCCAATTTCTGTTTCGGGTATATTTAGTGAATTATTTCTTGTTATAAATTCTATTACAACATTTGCTAAGTAAAATGGCCGTCTGCAATATAAGATTTTGCCTACAGAAGTTGAATGTATGATGCCTTCACTTTTGTTTTTTGATTTTCTATTGATTTCAATGACTTTTTTTTGTTGAGAAGACCGCATCCAAGAGACCTGGAATCTCTCCAAATTTCATAATATGAGAATTTATTCTAGGAAGTCCATGAAATTCTCGAAGAGGTTAGCAGTTGTGGAAGTTTTGATTTGGGGCTTTGTGGCTATGTATAACTTGCAAAAGGTTTAGAGCCTGGCAAAGACCAGTTGCACCTATAGGAGAAGTATTCATAATCAATAGAATGCCTTTTTTTTAGGGGTTGTTAATGGAGAGGAGTTGGTACCAAATTTGATTTGAAATGAGTTCAGTTATCAGCTTGAGTATTAGTACATTCTCTAGGGATGTAGGTTGCTGTTTTTCAAATTAAAACTAGTTCATATATTGAAAGGATTACTCGGTTTAAAAAAATTAAAAGCATTTTAAAACATGTGAGAGAAAAAAAGAACAGCGGACATATCTTTAATCTGGATTGCAGCAACAAACCAGGCATCACTGCCTCAGAACCATTTGAAACATGTACCTTTCAGATTTTTTTATTGTTGTTTAATCCTTGATAGCTACCAAATTGCTAACGTTGTAACATTATTATCCAATGTATGTGTTTTGGCTTTCACTTATCATCCTTTGGTGTGTAACGCACAACATTTCGAGTTTGATAAAGTGGGAAATTACAGGTTGAATAAGATATGGCAGTGAAGCCAACAGTTGCCTTCAGAGCTATACTTGTGGGAGGAATAGCTGCATTTGCCAAAGTAGCTGGTGTAATGAAGGCTGCAGGTGGTGCCAAGGTGGGTGCAGCTGCAGCTATGGCGACTGCAGCAGCAACAGCAGCTATTGGATCAAGAGAATCAAAGGATTCGAAATGAATTAATAATAGATGTAATCTGTAATTTCTGTAGCGTAGTGTTGGATGCCCCAAGGTGTCTTGGGAGCAAATTTGCTGCATTTAAGTTGCAATTTTGAACATAAGACGATTTTGAAGCACTTGAAATAAAAAGATATGTTTTTTTTTCTGTCCCTATTATTTGAGGATACACATAAAACCATGGCATGAAAACACACAAAGCTTAGTGGAATTCGAAGCCTTAGCCGGGGTACAATGCAGGTAAATGAAGGAGTACAACTTGGGAGATTAGCTTTCTGGCTCTTACAGGCTGAAGCTGTAATACAGATGGATATCGGGGAGATATATAGACCGGACATGTTTAATTACCCGAGCATGTTTCAGAAATTGGACAACTTAAGTAAATAATTGCTTATCGAAAGGGCATTAGGGAAGAGAAGTTTGTCATGCAACTTTCTTACTTAGTAGATAAATATGCAGAATACAAGGAGATGGAGAATTTCACTAATGAATATAATAGAGTCTGTACAGCTTTCTTTTCTTGTCTTGCCTATAGAACATGAAACCTTGTAGACTTTGTATCTGTTAACTGTTATAAACAAACACGATGGAAGAATTCTCAGGACGGGCGTTTCAAAGTGGAGATCAACAGTCCAAGAGTCCAAGTCCTCTTTCAATGTTTTTAAGCAAGACCTAGATCATCTCGTATTAACATAGTACTGCTAAAGTTGATGCACATTCGATTTCCTTGGACCACAAGTAAAGTCTGGCTGATCAACTAACTGTACCACAAGCTCCGGGTTTGGAGATTCTAACTCAAATATGACCTGTGCAACGGTAAAAACAAGTGGAAGTTCAAGCCAAAGCAAGCACTGAAAAAGAATATGAGAAACAATATGTTTAAACATCTTTCCCTGAATTATATCGATTTGGAAGCAGAACATTAAAACATAAGGCTTAGATACCATAATTTATTTCATTTAAAAGTTGAGCCTTTTTCAAAGAAGACAATCGCTGGAATGAAGATATAGGCTAGCTTAAGATTCAATTATGATTATATGTATATATAGATTTAATAATTTTTCATCTAACCTTAAAATAAAATTTAAAGAAAAATAACAAAAGAAGATAACTCTTTTTTTTCTTTTTTTAATGGGGTCAGAACAAAAGAAGATGTCCAACGTAGATGAGAAATAAAAAATAGCTTTTGGCATCTCATACCACAACATTCTTCCCATTCTGAAGGACGGGAGCTGGAACGTAGAGGTTGCATTGTGGTCCCTTTAACTGCAAAAGGCACCATGTTTCAAATGTTGGAGTAAAAGAACTCGTGTTCTAATATCAAAACACACAGAAAAGTTATGAACAAGGGAAATAGAAACATAATTTTACCGGCCAAAATCTTCCTATATTGAAATTGTTAATAGTTACAATTCCTTTACCCCACCCGCTCAATGATATGAATGTATCTTTGATTATGTCTTCTTTGCTAATATAAAAATATCCAGCATAGAATGCCGGTTCTTTCGAAGCATTCCCTGAAAAGAAAGCCAATGTCAGTAATTGATTGACCTCATTAATTCTGCATGTTTGCAACATGGTATAGGAAAGAACATAGAGACATGTATTTGAGAGCATACCAGACTTCTGTTTTAACCTTTTGCGGGCTGACATAGTAATGACTCCAGAATTTACAGCCTGAATTATGGGATTGATTTTGGGGGATTCGTTCAGGTTGATTATGGGCACCAAATACATTTTCCATTTACGGAGAATTCTCCCATCTAGATAAACAGGAGATAGAATACCCTGAAAAAGAGAGTAAGAAAGACCAGTCAAATATCATTGTCATCCATTATGCTATGACACACTTTGTTTTTCAGATGTTAAGAGATAAACTGACATAAGTACAATTCTCGACTTCAGTTAGGTGGTGTAGAAAATAATTACCTGAACAGTGATTATGCCACATGTATGTCTTACAAAGTTTAATAGCATAATAATTATGTCTTACATGTATTGTTTTTTTGGTGTTTCTGCTTCCTTCTTCTGTTCATTAGTTCTTAGTTTTGGTGTGTCTGTCCTGTTTGTTTGGTTGGGTTTGGCTCCCCTTTGGGCCTTTGCCGGTTGGCTTTTATGATATATTTGTTGACCCAAAAAAACCTAATGTAACTTACAACCAGACCTATGAATCATTGCTCATTTTTTGGAAGTTCAAACTACCGCTGAAAATATATCACATAAATCGAACAAGGATAACAGAGTGTGATTCGAATCCATATATTTGTAATCAAAAGCATACAGGACAAACTTTGATCATTAAGAATTGAATGACATTGGCAAATAACCTTATGCTTCGTAATCATATCAAGAAATAGAGAAAAAAAAAAAAGTTCCATACTTACAACTGACTTACCTTCCTGTCAAAGATATATGGTCCATAGTTAAGACGACCCATATTTTCAACCTATAAGAACAACAGATATCAAATTAGGGGGAAGAAATCCCCTGAGTTAATTCGGACGTTAAGAAATGAAAGTAAGATTATGAAGGGAAAAAAGTAGAGAAGACATTCGAGTACCAACACAAGTAAGCTGATGTTGGAGAGACATTTAGTATTAGGAAGGGTTAGAGGTTGATTTGACCATCTTTCAAGCGTGCCAACATATGTTGGCTTTTCATGACCATCTTCAGAAGGGCACGATATAAAAACTTGAGCTCTGTCATGCACCTGCAACATGAAATAAAATTTCAAACCCTTTTAGACCACTAAAATATTGTTAGCTATTTTATATACACTGAACATATATAGATAAATGTGTGGCTTGGACTCTGAACAAATGAGAGGCAATACTATGAGAGTCAATAAATATCTAACAGTAAATTAACGTAAACAGTAAGGCTGCACCTTTGGTATAGATACAATGCTTTCACCACCATTGTCTTTTGCAGTATACTCGGTTACGTATAACAGAAATCCAAACATCTGAAAGTTGGAAGCATTCATCTAATTACATCACTTGATCACAATGAACAACTGTAAACAAATAGAAAGCTACAAACACATATTCTTACACACCTGGCCCATTGACTCCATTGATATTGGGTTGTTGTCAGATTCAACCACGTCAAAATAACGTATCAATTCAAACAAAGTCCCTGTTTTAGTTACATTAATAGATCCGTATGCTTTCTTCTCATTATCGGATGGAACTGCAGGGAGAGATACTGAACTGTATTGCTCTACAACCCTCCTAAGTGCTGAAAGAAGTACACCATTAATGATAAACCATGTTGTTGCAAATTTGCAAACCATATAGCAAGAGGATTTTATTCCAGTACAAAAGAATATACAGTGTAAAGTGATACCTTTGAATTTTGCGTTGTTTACATCCCCAGATTCCCTAATCGGTGCATCCTGGGAAAACAGGTGTATCAGTTATGTGTTTATAGTTTGTAGTAGCATGAACTAATACCAACTTACAGCAAAGAAGAAAAATCTTCCTCACATAATCATAGGAAGTGAGGTCAGGCTTGTAATCGGACTCATCCGAACCAGTATTTGCTCCATTATAAAATCCAAAGTTTGTTCCCCCATGTGCCATCTGGAAATTTGAAATTTTAGGTTAAAGAGCTTTACCATGAAGCTTTACTTGAAAGCAGGAAAAGTATTGACTTTTAGGACATACATAAAGTACTGCAGAACCATTTCTTTCCAAAATATTTTTCAAGGCAGCTGCTGTAAAATCCGCACTAGTCTGCGCATTCTTCTCCCCCCAGTGTGTAAGCCAACCTGTGTAAAACTCTCTGAAGCAAGCATTTTAACTGCCGCCAACAAAATTAATTAATAATGACCAACAAGATACTTACGAAGAAAGTGGTGGTGATTTCCCTGGGGCATTGAACTCCTTTTGCAACTCAAATATAGGCCAAGGGTTGTCACCAGTAGTGAAGTCAACAGCTGCAAATGAGAAATAGAGATTAGGTCATAAGCAGAAAACATAATACACTCATAAGAGCTTATACATTGCTTCAAGAGCAAAATTCCTGAGAAATTTCATAGGCCTTTTCCTTTCTGATGAGTGATATACAAGGAAAAATTTCCAGTAGACTGCCCCAATCTGTAAAATTTACTTTTCAACAACTCAGAGAAAGAATTTCTCCCTGAGGCCTAGAAAAGACATGTTGCACTAAAGTAGCATCAAAAATTAAGTATCGGAAAGCCAAAAGGAAACAATTATAATGGATAAAAACTCTGTTAAGTGCATAGATTGCTCCAAATTAAGTATCGGAAAGCCAAAGGAAACAATTATAATGGATAAAAACTCTGTTGAGTGCATAGATTGCTCATGTGGACAGTATACAATGTTTTAGTGAACACACGGTAGTGAAAAAACTAACAGACAAATAATCAAGCTATATGTATCAAGGTGTTTAATGGGTAATAGTAAGTGAATAACTAAAGAAATGGTTAATAACAGTAGAGAGAAAGAAGTTTTAAGAATTAATGTTCATAATTTATAACTTAAGTATAGGTTGAGGTTGAACTTTACCTGAAAATACAGCATCTCCACGAATTGTGCCTTTTTCAAGTGTTTCCCTAGAACCTCCATCTGTCGTATACCTAAAAACCATTACAATGAAACTTGAAAATTATAAGAAAGTGCTACGCCAAAAGTCCATTTGCTCAAAGTATGTATTGGAAATCTTTTCTTTCGTATATAATAGTTGGAGCACTAATTAGTTGAACTAACCACCATGAATGAATCATGATTGTTCCGTAGTGCGCACATCAAAATAACAATAAAACACATTATGAACATAAGGCTGAAGGACTTACAAAATAACATCATCCCCAAGGTGCTTTCTAGCCAATGAGACCAGGTGATGAAGATAAGCTTTGTCGTCCCCATATGAACCAAATTCATTTTCAATCTGTCAGAAAAAATGGTGCTTTACTGTAATTTTTCAACTACTATCTCAAAAGTAAGAGATTCAAGCTTTTCAAAATTAACTTGACAA